CGGGTAAAATCACCATAACTAGTCATACACTATGGAAACACATTCACACCAGTACAGATTAGGGTAAAATCACTTGAATACTTTCTGATGGTTTTTAGAAAATAACTCGAAATATACTGAACTATTTAGCCCCCATTTGTTTATCATTTTTAGAAAAATGAGAATGAAAAATATAGTCGTTACGAGCCCCACAGAAGAAATAGAAATTCAAATTTGGTGACTTGATGTGATGGATAACAGTCATATTTTTCATTTTAATGAGTAAAGAATGAGAACCAAATAGGGACTTAATATGAATGTAACATGCTAAGAAAATGATTTAACTGGACTGAAATTAACTTTAAAAATAATTGATTATAAATCCACTTTATTCTAAAAATCATGCTATCAAATTAACTTATGAAACAATAAATTTTCTAATCTAACATAAATTTAATAAATATTAATTTTTGAAAAATAAGTTCGATATCCACTCACAGATTTGTGGATAGCAATCTGGTAAATTGACCAGCCTTGCCAAACTTTCACATCATCACCTGAAATACGATGTAAAATAACTAATTTAACAAATCTCATACTAAGTATCTCTTAATATTAATAGTCGAATACTAAAACTTGACTTCTCGATACTTGAATAATTTTCCCCAATTTCCTTTAATCACTTCAAGCTAATACCACTTTCTAGTCCATTTTTTTTAATAGCTAATTCATCACAATAACCTTTATTCTTATCATAAAAATAATTATCCCATCTTCCAATCTAGTAAAATTAATAACCATAATTCGACCAATTAAACACCTTATTCCATAAAATCATACTTTCAAGTGAACATTTCATCATTAGTATCATTTCCACTATTATACCTATTCAAGAACTCAATTAAAAACTCTAGGGTTTACCAAAATTAGTATTTATTACCTTGATATAAAAATCTTTCATAAATCAAAGAAATTGGCTTGAAATCATACTCTTCCCATTAATCTGAAAATTAAACTATCAAATTCACTCAACTACTTAGAAGCCTAGAAAGTTTAATATAAATTATGCCATAAAATATTTACCTCTTTTCCTCTCTAAAAAATGAAGAAATTGAATAATGGAACTCAAGTTTTCTTTCCCTTTTTTTTTTTTTTCCTTCCTTTTCTTCTTCTTTTCTTCCTTTTTCTCTTTTCTTCTCTCCTTTTTCTTCCTCTTTTTCGATTTTTCTGGCTTCTGCCCGTCCAAGTCTCTCTCTCTCTTATGTGTCTAAATAAAAAGAAAAAAAGAGAGAGATATAACCCATTTTTTGCATTTAAGTCCTCCAACCTTCTTATAGAAAAGCACTTAGATACTTAACTTCCTCAAGTAGAAAAATAATTCCCAAATTTAATTTTTATCCATTTTAAACCCTCAAAATATTTTCAATTTGTAAAATAAACCACAATAAAATAATTTATTTCATTTTAGTCCCTATTTGACTTTGACTTTGACAATTCAACTTATGATTTTTGATTAGTAAAATTTGGATTGTAACAGTTCTTGCACCTGCTTCTTCTAAAAGCTCTCCAAACCAAATGTAACACATTCAGAAAGTTATTTAAATTTACTCAATTTCTTAGTCCTAGAAATTGCTTTTGACTTTTTAAAACTATGCCAAATGGACCCTTAATACAATCTAATCTACGTGTACAGCTAGCATTGTGAACAAGTACCCACACGTGCAGCTTGATTCTTAAAGACAACACGTAAGAAATTTTTTATAAATGAGTGGTGGCAAGACTTGAAATTAGATCATGTTAACCATATCCTATAAGGATTAAAACTTTACAAAAGGGAACACAGGTATTTATTCAACAAATAGCCATCCAACGGTGTGTCTCAGAAATAAGAAATTTTGAATTAACAGTTCCCTGTATAAAAATGCTAAGAAACAAATAAGCATTAATAATTGCTTGCAATGGATATGTATAGCAAGAAAAATAATATTCCCCTAACATTGCACAATAATAAAAATTAAGAAAACTCCAGTAACTCTTTAACTGCAAAAGTTGTCATGGGATAAGTTACAGCTTAGAATTATAAAAAGGCACAAAGCAAAATATACAAAAAGATTATAAAGAATAGACACAAGCTAGCAATGCATGCAACAACTAGACAAGTTCATTGTGTTCGGCACTATAAAACCAACGCCATCTTTGCTAGCCAGACTCCTGCGAGCACCCCGAGCAAATTTGCCTCTTCACCTTCTATAAATCAGCCAGTTTTCTCGGAAGAATGTGGAGGAAGTGTTCCGAGAACCCTGTCCCAAAATGTTGATGTGATTCCAAATCCCTTGTTCTGAATTTTAAAGTGATGGTTCATGTGGTATCTCTACATTCGAAAAAAATCGAAATATTCATCAGGTATTAAAAGATTATCGACTATCCTTTCACGCTTTCGTTATAGTTGTATAAACAGTCCCCAAAAACAGAAACCATCCAAATCTCTATTAAGTATTCACGTTGTACAACTGTAATGAGAGTTTGTCCACCAACTTGCTACTCTAGATCAACAGTGCAATTTTTCCCAACAGAAAAGAAATTCTTTTTCAAGCTAGTTATACCTTGAGATCATGAGATACTCCTTTCAATGGTTTCCCATGGTGCAAGTAGTAATGAGTGCAGTCATACATGACATAACCCAACAAGCCACCTCCAAATACAGCTGGGGCATAAGATGCAGGTGCTAAAAGCTTAATCAGATTCCAAAACTGACATCACAGAAGTAGCGTATGAGCAAAGAAAAAAAACAATGAACGGAGGACATAATCGAAAGAAGATTGCACATACTGGCACAAGCAGAATCAAAGTTGCAGCAGGAGGGAAAACGAGTCGGAGGCCATCCATAGGGTGCTTGTGATGGCAGCCATGAATGAGGTAGTGAAGCGTGTTCGCCCTGCATGTAATTTTACTCTCAGTACACGGTGGCTTATTATAAGCCATCAAAATGAGGAAAAGAGAAAACCCGAAGTCTGATGGTGGGAGAGAACGAACCAATAGCTCTTTGTTTTAATGTGGAAAAGAAACCGGTGCAAAGAGTACTCCATAAATGTCCACATGAAGATGCCACCAATCACTGTTGCTGCTAGCTGGTAAGGAGAAAGGCCAATCTTTGCAGATGTAAAAACAGACCAGCATACAACGGGAAGCCAGATGAGAGGAATTACCCACCATGCAGTGCGTGTTAAGAACTGTTCAAGATGCAAGTAAGAATGCCAACGGTTTAGAATATTGTCAATCATATTCAGAAAGACACATCTATGCATAACTTGCTCTAATTTGCATTACCTCTATAACGTCATTTGTGAAAAAACGTGGGGTTTCTTTGCTGACAATAGGTTGGTGAACCCATTCCTCGTAAGCTTCTCCAAGATGGCCGACCTAATAAAAACTTTTAACCATGAGGAGATGGAACTAATAAGAGATTACATATAGAAAAAGAGGTTCTCTTTTCACTTTTCCATTTTTCATCATTTGATTCCTAAGTTACTATTGTCAGTATATCGGCAATAGTTGAACAAGAAGTATAGTTTCTGCTAAATTTCACTCAATTGATTAACCTAGTCTCTTATTTTCAGTTTCATAATATGTTCTTATTTAGTTGCAACACTTTTTTCTACGCCACTTAATTGAACAAACAGACTTGTTGAAAGGTTGTGGCACAATGATGCAATTGTGTGAGTTGACCAGCTGACTTTTCTTTATTGATTTTAAAGTGTTAGCTGATCCCTTAAAAAGGCGCTTTCAATTTATAAAACCATGTTTCTTCTAATGGACGCTCATGATGATGCCATGTGTCAACCCCATGTCCATTGGATGGCTGATCATTTGGTGATCATATAAAAGGAAGTCCTAGGGTTGAGACACATGATTTTTCTAGTTTTCTAGGGTCTTCTCTCTGCTCTCTGGCCGTTCGAGTTCATCTTCTTCTCCTCTCTGAAAATCAAAGATCCTATTTGATTTTCAACACTTTCTCATATTTGGTTTTGTAATTTTGAGTGATTCTTTCTGAGAAGTGTAGTGTGTTCTTGTGTGAACCAATTTTTTTGAAGTGATAAGATCGAATCTTCTGTGATCTTGGGTGATTCTGGTCTGAGTGTGAAAACATCCTAATTTCTAAGCCTTGGTGTGTGATCAACACTCGCAGTGGACTTCCTGGAGAAAACATCACATAAATTTTGAGAGATTCTCAAATTGTTAATGCCTTAGGGCATTTTAATGAGATCCCTTTTTTCTTGTGTTTCAATATCTTTTATACTGCACATTTTATTGTTGATTAAATCTAATATTGTTGGAACCTCCTCTTTTTACAGTGGTATCAGAGCGGTTGGACGGAGGTTCTTGGCTCTGACCTGTGTAGATCTGAAAATGCGACACTCGATTTTAGCTAACCTTTGTTATTCCTTGAAACCCTATTGAAGGGATCTGGTGAGATTGTTCCGATTTTTCAATTAACATTACAAATTAATTGTATAAACACTTTAAGCTTGCTGCATCTGTGATTTAAGCCCCTGGTCTGTGACTAGTTGGGTAATTCCTTTGTCCAGAAACCCTAGAGTTGTCTGGAATCTGAGGGTTACCTTGACTTAAGTCAAAGATCTCGATATTCATATACTGCTGTGATATTTTTTAGTATATAATCTCGGTGCTTGCTACTTAAATGTGATTTGTGTTGAGAAAAACACGCTGTGACTCCAAGATTTTGAACAATTCCTGCAAAATAGCTGAAGTTCAAATTTGAATTAGATATTTTTAATGGCAAATGAGACTTCAGTCTCTGGCACTAGAAAATGAGGCAATTTTATTACAACAAAAACGTGCTAAAGCTATTGATGAAACATGACCTGATGATTTAGAAGAAACCAAGAGAATTGAACTTGATGAAACTGCTTGGAGTTCAATCTTTCTACATTTATCTGACAATATACTTAGAGAAATTGGTGAGACTACGACTGCTGCTGAGTTGTGGAAAAAGTTGGAAGATACATACTTGAACAAATCTATGCCTAATAAGGTGTATCTTCTGAAATAGTTCTTTGGTCTTAAACTTGACCCATCACTTGATCTTGAGGCTAATAGTAATAGATTTAATAGACTATCATTTGACCTAGCCGACTGTGATGAAAAACTCTCAAAAGATCAGTTGGTTGAGGTCTTGTTAAATTCAATTGGTGATAAGTATAAAGATGTTAAAAAATACAATTGAATATGGGAGGGAAACTCTAACCACTGATGTGATTATTAATGCTTTAAAAAATAAAGAGTTAGAGTTAAAGTCTGACAGGAAAGAATATATTAATGGGGAGAACTTGATGGCTAAAACTAAGACTAACCCTAAGACTGTGAACTTTATCAAAAAACCTGGACACAAGAAAAAGGCAAATCCTAAGGATAAAATGAAAATGAAGACTAAGGGAAAGAAGTGTTTCTATTGTCTTAATGAGGGTCATCTTATCAAAAAATGTCCCAAAAGACTTAGTGATTTCAAAAACAAATCAAAAGATGATAGTGGTGTAGCCTTAGCCTACAATAATGAGACCTTAATTGATAAAGTTTATGTGGCTGTAAGCTGTCCTCCTTGTCAAGAGTGGATTCTTGACTCATGCTGCACCTGCCATATGTGTCCAAACAAAAAATGGTTTACTGAGTTTGAAAATGTAACTGGTGGTAAGGTTTTAATGGGTAATCACATGACATGTCAGGTTAAAGGAATAGGAATAATAAATTTGAAAGTAAAAGGAAATAATAAACTCGTCTTGGAAAAGACAAGATATGTTCCTGATTTACAAAGAAATCTTATTTCCTTAGGGGTTCTAGATGACCTAAACTATGACATATTGATTAACAAGGGATACGTTAAAATCTTAAGGGGTTCACAAGTAATTGTTGAAGCCCCAAACAGACATGGCCTATACATTTTACAAATTGAAAATTTTTTAGAATCCACATCAACAGCAATCTCAATCCAAAATGATAAGTCACATATATGGCATAAAAGATTGGGCCATATTAGTGACAAAGGGCTACAGATTTTAAAAAAAACAAGGTGCCTTTGGGAAGAATAATATAGAAAAACTCAGTTTTTGTGACTATTGCATTCTTGGAAAACATAATAGATTACCTTTCTTGCCTGTAATGCATAAATCTATGTCTATACTTGAATATTTGCATGCTGATCTTTGGGAACCAGTTTCTGTAACAACTCATACAGGTTTTAAATATTTCCTGTCAATTATTGATGATTTTTCTAGAACAAATTGGATTTTTCTGTTAAAATCAAAATTTGGTACTTTTAGTGTTTTCAAGGACTGGAAAACTTTGATTGAGAACCATACTGACAAAAATATTAAGGTCTTAAGAACTGATAATGGTTTGGAATTCTGCAATCTTGAATTTGATGAGTTGTGCAAACTTTCTGGTATATTAAGACATCGCCCCACAACAAAATGGTTTGGCCGAAAGAATGAATAGAACAATTCTTGAAAAAGTGAGATGTATGCTCTTCAGTTCAAGTCTGCCTAAGATTTTCTAGGGGAAGCTGTTAAAACTGCTAGTTGTCTGATTAATAGCAGTCATTCTAGTGCTATACACTTTAAAACCCCTGAAGAGATGTGGAGTGGAAAACCAGTTGACTTCAGTAACTTGAGGGTCTTTGGTTGTGCAGCCTTTGTACACCAATCTGAAGGAAAATTAGAACCTATGGCCCTTAAATGTGTATTCTTGGGCTATGGTGAAGGGGTATAGGCTATGGGTAAGGGAAAACAAAGGCTATAAGATCATAATCAATAGAAATATGGTGTTTAATGAAGATGATCCGCCTTGCCTAAAATCTAAAAACAAAATAGAGCCCTTAAGTCGGGATGAAAGTGTGGAAAAGGGGGTTGAAATTGAGGTGGAGCAATCTGATGATGAAAATCATCAGAATGCTACACAACCTGATGAGGAAAATGAGGAGATACCTGGTGATGGTACTCCTAATGATGAATCTGAAGTTGAACCAGAATCTGGTCAACCTTTAGACAATTATCAACTCACAAAAGATAGGCAAAGAAGACAAATAAGGCCTCCTGTTAGGTTTGATGAAGATGTATGTTTGCTATCTTATCAAAGTATGACTGAAAATGAGCCCGAGTCCTTTGAGGAAGCCATAAATAGTGAAGACTCTAAAGAATGACTTGCAGCAATGCAAGATGAAATGCAATCTCTTAAAAAGAACAAAACTTTGGTTTTGGTAAAAAGACCACAAGAAAAAAGGGTTGTTGACTGTAAATGGACTTTCAAAATTAAAAGAGGTTAACAAAGTGAAAATGATATAAGATACAAAACTAGATTGGTGGCTAAGGGTTTTACCCAAAAAGAAGGAGTAGACTTCAATGAAATCTTCTCACCTGTTGTAAAATTTACTACTGTTAGGGTTATTTTGGCCTTAGCCACACAATTTAACTGGGAACTAGATCAATTAGATGTAAAAACAGCTTTTTTAAATGGTGATCTAGACGAAACCATTTACATGAAATAACCCAAAGGATTTGAGGTAAATCAGAAATCTGACTTAGTTTGCCTTCTTAAAAAATCCCTATATGACTTAAAACAAGCTACAAGGTAATGGTATAAAAAATTTGACAATTTTGGGCTTGGACTTGGTTTTAAGAGAAGCAACTTCGATACCTGCCTATATTGTAAAGGAAATGGTGGAGAAAATTCCCTTTATCTACTCCTTTATGTGGATGACATGCTATTAGGAAGTCATGACGTAAAAGAGATAGAAGATATCAAAAATAAACTAAAATCAAAATTTGAGATGAATGACTTAGGCCCTGTGAGAAGGATTTTAGGTATTGAAGTTAAAAGAAATAGGAGAGAAGGCACACTAAGTCTTAGCCAACAGTCATATATGCTGAAATTGCTAAATAAATTCTCTATGTCTGATTCCAAAAGTGGGAGTTTGCCTTTGGCAAATCATTTTAAACTCTGAAATGAACAATGTCCTAAATCTAAAGAAGAATTTGAAAGGATGGCAAGAGTGCCATATTCTAACGTAGTTGGGTCTGTCATGTACCTCATGGTTTGTTCTAGACCAGATTTAGCGTATTCTATAAGTGTCCTAAGTAGATATATGTCAAATCCAGGTGAAACTCATTGGGAAGCCATGAAATGGCTTCTTAGATACATTAAAGGTACATCATATTTAGGTATTCAGTTCAGAAAACAAATTGAAGGTGTTGTATTGAGAGGATATACTGATTCAGACTATGCTGGTGATAGGGACAATAAGAAGTCCACTTTAGCCTATAGCTATACTTTGTGTAATTCTTGCATCAGCTGGAAATCCCAGCTTCAAAAGATAGTTGCATTATCTTCTACCGAAACTGAATATATTGCTGCAACAGATGCTATAAAAGAAAGAATATGGCTGAAAGGGTTATTAAATGAATTATTTGAGATGAATGACTTAGGCCCTGTGAGAAGGATTTTAGGTATTGAAGTTAAAAGAAATAGGAGAGAAGGCACACTAAGTCTCAGCCAACAGTCATATATGCTGAAATTGCTAAATAAATTCTCTATGTCTGATTCCAAAAGTGGGAGTTTGCCTTTGGCAAATCATTTTAAACTCTGAAATGAACAATGTCCTAAATCTAAAGAAGAATTTGAAAGGATGGCAAGAGTGCCATATTCTAACGTAGTTGGGTCTGTCATGTACCTCATGGTTTGTTCTAGACCAGATTTAGCGTATTCTATAAGTGTCCTAAGTAGATATATGTCAAATCCAGGTGAAACTCATTGGGAAGCCATGAAATGGCTTCTTAGATACATTAAAGGTACATCATATTTAGGTATTCAGTTCAGAAAACAAATTGAAGGTGTTGTATTGAGAGGATATACTGATTCAGACTATGCTGGTGATAGGGACAATAAGAAGTCCACTTTAGCCTATAGCTATACTTTGTGTAATTCTTGCATCAGCTGGAAATCCCAGCTTCAAAAGATAGTTGCATTATCTTCTACCGAAACTGAATATATTGCTGCAACAGATGCTATAAAAGAAAGAATATGGCTGAAAGGGTTATTATGGCTTTGTTAAAGAAGTAGTTCTTTATTCTAATAATTAGTCAGCCATTCATTTAAGTAGAAATCCAGTCTTGCATAATAGATCTAAACATGTTGACATTAGATTTCACTTTATAAGGGATTTATTTCACAAGGAGTTGTGAAACTTGAAAACATTTCTACTAATTTTAACTCCGCTGATGTAGGTACAAAGGTACTACCTCTTAACAAATTCTTGGACTGCTTGAACATATTGAACATCACTGCATGCTGATTTGAGTATCTGATATGAGTGCAAATGGTGTGTAAAAACTGGGAGCAACCACACTGTTGAGTGAATGTGGATCATTGTACCAAGGTGGAGATTGAAAGGTTGTGGCACAATGATGCAATTGTGTGAGTTGACCAGTTGACTTTTCTTTGTTGATTTTAAAGTGTTAGCTGGTCCCTTAAAAACGCACTTTCAATTTATAAAATCGCGTTTCTTCTAATGGACGCTCATGATGATGCCATGTGTCAACCCCATGTCCATTGGATGGCTGACCATTTGGTGACTCATATAAAGGGAGTCCTAGGGTTGAGACGCGTGATTTTTCTGGTTTTCTAGAGCCTTCTCTCTGCTCTCTGGCCGTTCGAGTTCTTCTTCTTCTTCTCTCTGAAAATCAAAGATCCTATTTGATTTTCAACACTTTTTCATATTTGGTTTTGTAATCTTGAGTGATTCTTTCTGAGAAGTGTAGTGTGTTCTTGTGTGAACCAATTTCTCTGAAGTAAGAAGATCGAATCTTCTGTGATCTTGGGTGATATTGGTCTGAGTGCGAAAACATCCTAATTTCTAAGCCTTGGTGTGTGATCAACACTCGCAGTGGCATTCCTGGAGAAAACAGTACATATATTTTGTGAGATCCTCGAACTGTTACTGCCTTAGGGCATTTTAATGAGATCCCTTTTTTCTTGTGTTTCAATATCTTTTGTACTGCACATTTTCTTGTTGATTAAATCTAATATTGTTGGAACCTCCTCTTTACACTTGTGCAATGAATAAGTACGACGACTGAGATAACTTGCTCATTACACTTAATACTATGAACTGAATACCAAAAAAGACCATGTAATCGAAAAAGTTCAATGGTAATAACGGAAAATGGTATGATATTTGACCTGAAAAACGAGTGGCTTGTTCAAATCCACTGTAAAAGCCTGGTTGACCATCTTGGCACCTATTGATATAAAAAGTATAATCAAACCAAAATGAAATATTTCAACATATATAGTCATAAATATTGCTTCAAAACTTGAACCCTGAACCTTTGTTTCGAGAAGAACTGAATATACTTATAACATGTTCTGAGATAAAGACCTCCTTTTATAATAATCTCCGGATTACAAATTTTGATACCGTTTTTCCTATTTTACAGAGAGGGATAATAAAAATAATCCAATTTTACGTGTTGAGGATCAATGTGACAGCTTTATCTTGTTCTGTTTAGGGTAAATGGTATATTACCATTCCATATTCTATGTAAAAATCACGGAGCTTTCAAAACATTTTAGCCAACCTCAGCTTTATTGAGAATAAGGTTTTGTCGTACTTCATGAAGAACAAAACTTCCCGAATGAAATTATGCCATTGATCCTTCTCGACCATAAATGAAATTCTCAATATCTTTCATTCCTTGTTTATAAAAGAAAATTGCTTACAACCACGTAATATTTCATGCATATATTGGAATCAGCCCCCAATAATATAAAACTTGCAATAACCTCATTCATTGATTAAGATTAAAGAATTTCAAATTTGTTAAACATAGACATAGCATCAACCCGTAATGGAAGACAGCATTGTCGGTTTATGACCACAGCGTTTTGTACCTATATATCTACGTATTAGGTCTTTCACAAGAGATGGGGGAATTATTGGCTATAACTGTAAATATGCCTTGAAACACAAATAAGAGACGTGAGATTCGTTCCACAATCCGCGACTTTGAAAACACAAATAATCCATTAAAACAAGTTGGATCTAAATGTAAAAGGAATAGCAATAAACGAGAACGAGAAAAAGGCTGGCATGCAAATATCTACCTGAGGACAATGCCGGAATGATGTTCAAAGCACTTGATCTTCCTAGTATTATTCTCTTTTCTTTCAATGAATGGAAAAGATGGATGAATTTTTATAGTTCTGAACCTCCGAGGTAAGTGTCGGAGGGAAAGAGAGAGAGAATTTGGGCTACTGCTAACTAAAAATAACAGATAATGTTAATGGTAATATATCAACCAATCTCTCTAGCGAATTCAAAGGGGAGCCATGCAAACTTCTATAAACCTTCGTGTTTATTAACACACGCGCGCGCGCGCGCGCGCACACACACATATATATATATATATATATATATATCTCACAATGGGATTTGGAACTTTAGTTCTTTTGAGAATTTGTGTTACTTTATAATGTATATAGAACAAAACTGCGGTTTTGACAGGGAAATTGCATCATTTATATCTGAATAGAATTTAAAATAATACGTAACATAAAAAGGAATTTTTTATTTTATTTTTTTTTTATTTTATTTTTTTTTGCCCCCCTTTTTACTTTGTTCCTAGCCCAGTTGAGACTCGAACTACCTGAGAGGAAGCTTTTTGATACCATTGAATAAAAAGAAAAGGAGAATGAAGATCAAAATGCAAAAGGAACAAAATCTGCAAGTCAAAAATCTTCGATTGATTTCTCGAATCAACAATTATTATAATGCACGAGTCAAAAGAATTTCTATGAGATTTTCACTATTTCGAAGATACACGTCCAAATTATTTGTGTAAGTTCACGAGTTTTTTTCTCGTCCTAATACATCAGCCTCCCACCATGACATTCTATATTCCGAATTCATGAATTTCTTGATTGAAGACATCTTTCCACTTGCAAAAGTCAGATTTTCAGCACTATTTTCTCCCAAACCACGGATACGAAAAATGCAAAGCAAGACTATACAAGTCATCTCATGGTGTTTGAAATATTTGATCAGCCGAATGACAGCAAAGTGTCGCTATTTCCAGTTTAAAGCCTTCACGGGAGAAAAATGTTACACGAGTTTCAGGATTAAGCAGATCCTGGTAATAGCGTTCTTTGTACAATTTATTATAAATACGACTCAGAAACAGAACTTACTGTGTGCACGCAAGGAATAATTACCTGTAAGGCTGTAAGTTGGCCTGATTCCCAGAGACATAATAAACCATGACCTGATTCTTTGAGGATATTTTACTGAAGTCACTACTAACAATGGATTCTGATCCATCAATCAGAATTACTGTTGTCGGGTAAATTTATTGTTCCCTTTCTTCTTGCAGCCTTATTAGATTGATGATTTATACAAGGAACATGAACCAAAAACACGAAAAAAATGACATATTGGCTGTGCAACTAAAATGTCTGTCATTGAATGCAAGTTTGAATTGGACACTTTCTTTTAGCAAAGTTGAATTCAAGCAACAAGATGAGTGAAGTTCAATAACACACTATAGATATGCAATGTAAAATATTGGATACGGTAAAAACTTGAGGAAACGCATATTCGAGCAATAAGCATGAAATTTGCAACTTCTGCTATCATAATCTATAATTTGAATCTATATATTTGGAGATGAAGATACAGAATCTAGACTTGTGAGACCAACCAAAGGTCGAACATGCTATAAATCTAATCTCTCGGATAACAAGCCAAGACTGGAGTACATAACAAACAAAAAACAGACTACACAAAAAGTAAAACTCGAGATTCCTACATTATTAAATCCATAATCTATCAAAGACATGAGCTTTTAGAATGCATGATAGGCACTTTTTTCTATCTATCTTTGTAATGTTGCACCTTTTTCGTCTCCAAGCACCACAATAAGAGAAGCAAAACTGTGAGCATCAGATCCAACAAGTCCAGTGGGAACAACCAGAGTCTAAATGTCTTCGGTTAAATCCTTTCCTCTTCCCTGTTCATAATTACTTCCTCCTCAGCCTCCAACAATCCACTAGCAGTACAAAAGCAATATAACACATCCTCCTCTTTGTATCTTCAAATGGACAATGACTACGTTTTGCTACAATTTCTGATTCTTTTCATCCTCACTTTCATCTTCTTCACATGTGAAGGAATAAATTTTAGAACTTCTGTAGTTATTTTCCTCTTTTTTTGAACTACGCAGCTTCTTCGGAACTAGTTTCTTCATCTTTGATTTAAGCTTATCCTTCCGGGACATCCTCCTCTTCAATTCCAACACTTCGCATATAGACTCTTCTTCCTCATTCACCACCTTCTCTATTTGTTCATATCTCAATTTTCCTTTGCAAATGTGCTCATCCATTATCTCCTTCTCACGTGGAATTTCCTCGCCACATTCTGGTTCTATAACTCGAGATTCTTGAAATGACATCTTTGATTCACAATTCTCAAAGTCAGAACAGTCAGGATCAAAAGAATCCTTATTCTTTTGATCTGAATTATCCTCTTTGAATCTGAAAACCCTTTGAACAATCAATCTTAATCCCTTTTGCGCATCTGAAAACGGCTTCAACATTCTGCAAGTATATTTATCAACATACTCCAGGAAAATTAATAAGAAGGCCGAAATGGTTATCCCCACGACGAATTTCTTCGTCCCCAAAGCCAAAACCAACACCAAAATTATCTTCACAACAGCCACCACAACCCGCCTCCCAACACCACTCACATTGGCACCGACAGAAGCTTCATCAAACTTCCTAGTCTCTGACAGCAAAGGACTGGAAGAAGACAAAGAACAGCGAGAAGATGAAGGCGTAAATGAAGGACTTGGCAAAATGCTTGAGGATTGCAGGATCACCGGATCATTATTTTCGTTTTCTGGTGGAATTTTTGGTGGCTTGGCCCGGTTTTTCTTGGATGGCTTTTTCAATTTGTCCCCATTCTTGATTGCAAAATCTACAAGGGACGTAGGGAACCCGGTCTCCACCATAAGAGGAGAGCCTCCGGGCTTTTTCTTAGAGTTCTGCTGCTTCTGCACATGATCGTTCATCAATTGCGAAATTCTTGAGTTCTTGGCCTTCTTCCATGGAAATGGCATGGTGAAATCACTTATATCCAGTATTCCAAATAGAATAACATCAAAATGAGGGATTGCTTCAATTTTGTGCTATCGAATCATAAAACCTTCTGGGGTGGAATTCAACTAACATGGCTTTTCATCAATTACCCTGGATTTCAATAAAAAGAGCATCAGAACGCGGAGTAGGATCGATTTTGTGCTGTTGATACATCAAAATAAAAGGATTGTAAAGACGACGGTTAATATGATCTTTTAGGGTGGAGTTTTGCGGACATCATTTGAATTTCTTTATGAAATTTTCATCAATGGATTTCAGGAGGTATATAAAAGACTTTATGTATGAAAGATTCAAAAGAAATCATGAGGTACGGAAGAATAGAATGTGCAGAGTGAAATATGAATTACGAAGAAGAAGGCGATGTATTTGTTTTACTTGTACTTAATGGACGGAGGAAATAAACGATTTAAATATAGGATTGCACAATATAAGTAGGATAAAACCACCTGTCCCGATTTGAGGAAAGGGTTAAAATAGCCCCTGTTTTTAACCGTGTCCCCAAGCCGGGACAGGGAGTAAGGTTCATATAAGTATATATTGATACTTAAATAAACATTTTTAAATCTCTTCAGAATCTCACAGATATGCAAAGAAAGCATTAGTCGAGGGCAGACCAAGTGGTCCTAGACAACGGCCTTTTGAGAATTTATCGACTAACATTGGAGAAACACACTTGAAATTAAGATAAACAGTAATCAACCATGGTAATTACAAAATTTTAGCACAAACTAAAATGTAACTCGTGTATAATCTAGAAAAGATTTACAGCACTTAATTTCCATTTTCCACCATTGAATCAAAAAATGCATCTGTAAAATGAATTTGCAATGAACCAGTAACATATCTGTCAAAACAATAATGCATATTTGGCATGGTATTTACAGTATTTTTGTCCGTTGGCATGTTTTGTAAGAAGGATTGTATAGAATTAGAATGCACAATATGATTATCCTGTTAGAATATTCTAATATGGGCTTCATATTTGATTATTTATTTTACTGATGAGATGTATGACTCATAATGATATTTGTAATTAGGCCAAATTTATTAAGTGATCAATTGCTTCTTCTACAACCTACGCGTTGTAATTAATATTGTTGACATTCGAACTCCGACCTAATAAAAACAGTTCGCTAACCCCACCTCAATTAAATGTAAGTTCGGCCCATACTCCCATGTTGAATAAATCCTCCGTTATCTCAGAAAAATATCATGATTATCCCTTGTCACATCACCCTATCAATTAGATACACTTGCCACAGATGACATCATCGCCGCCCAGAACAACCAATTCCAAGTCCTCGAACTCCAGCCCCTTGCAGGTCAACATTACTTGGGTAACACATTGACACATGATCACGGGCCTCATCGACCAATCACAGGAAAATTCGGCGACCCGAGTTTCGAGCTCGACACTATTGCTGATTTGACTGATTTAATGTAATTTCAACTGAAATTATGTATAAATAGTTGAATAGGACTCTTGTAAAAAGTAGTGATTTTCATCCAACAACTCAAGGCATAATTACACTCTCTAAACATATTTTGTGGTCTTTTTTCAATAATAAATTGCAACTTTTTTTCTTAAAGTTGGCTTAAGATTAGCCTTATTAATTTTGACGTCAACAGTTTGGCGCTAGAAGAAGGACCCTAATTGTGAAAAATAGTCTTATTCTCTCCACAAAATCCGAGAGCCATGAGTCGTAGTTCAAGTTCTAGAAATCCATTTCGCACCCACTCTCACGAAATGAACACACCACCAAGTTCTCCACTACGAAAGGATCCTCAAATGACCGCTATGAGGGAAGCTCTGGAAAAATTGACGAACGCAGTGGGACGGTTGGAAAGGAGTCAAGCCCACTCGTCCCTACCAAATACCAAGGTGGAATCCCTCGTAAGGACACAGGTAAGGCGTCTCCCCACGAGGAGGACCCTCCACTTTTCAAGGGGAGAATCCTCCAGAAGCCGAACTGACGAGGTCAGAAGTAAGAAACCTGAGGCGAGGAGGACTGCAAGCGTGTTCGACAGATTGGGGACCCAGCAATTACTAACTCCTACGCAAGGACAAGCTGACCTGAAACGTCCATTGGAACAAGCAGA